AAACCCCACATTGAAAATTTCATGTAAATAATTAATTCAGTAAAAATCTATGATGCTCAGCAATTGGTCACATTATTTTTTAATCAACCGATACATAGATAGTCTAAAACGTAAGTTCCTTTCAGTGTTACAAAAAAGGAAACTACATTGATCAGATCTTGTTTCGAACATAGGTACCAATATTTCTTATACATTTAGTGTTGCTGAGCATGAGTGTTTCGATGTTCCCGTCAAAAAACATTTCCGTCTGCGATTGTAACTATTGGATAACAATAGATTTGATCACGTCGTAGTCCTGGAACTTTTTGCCAACACTAAAAGATTTCAGATTCTTAAGCAGATGCTAGTCATTTTGTTCGAGATTCGGACTGTAAGATAGTCAGAAACTTCCCATCACAACTTGGTAAGGTATTATTGCGTACCACGCGCATGGGAAGGGGGATGGGGTGAACAATGTCGTGAATCAGCAAAATTTTAACCAGAAGAATTATTCTGTATTGCACGACGCAGTTTTCTGAGTGTGTCTCAATAAAGTGCCGTGCTAACTGTTTGTCCATGTGACATGAAATCTACCGGCAAAGCACCGTGTAGATCTCAAAACACTGTGAATATCAATTTACAATACATGAACAGTGGCACGGCTTTCATCTGGGTTGACGATGACAGGGCTTCCTTTCATCAATTGTCATTTGGATTCCGGAGTTTTGTGACTCACACAGGTATCATCACCAGTTACTATCCGGCTTAAGCCTCACCCGCTTTCTTTTACCATGTCAAGAAGTCTACAGCACGGTGCAATCTTTGCTGCCCTATCAGAATGTGAGGTATTCACAAAGCACCCAGCTTTCGGAATTTTGGATATTTGGACACAATCTCATGCAGAAGTGACCTGGAAATTTCAGGAAATACGAGAGAGAGTATAGTTATGGTAAAATATATATTCTCCATAATCTTCCCATTAAGGTATCCGACTACGTTCGGAACCGTGATTTTGCAAAAGTGTATATATAATTGGATAATATTTATATTTAGTGTCACTTAGATTAGAAAATGTATATAAAATTATTTTAAGAATAGTATTACAACAAAAAATTATTTAAGTGTAATATTTTGACAAGAAATAAACATAGAATGTCCCATTTTGAAAATATTCTCCTTTCGTGAAAAATGCTTCTGTCATAATAATATTTTGCCTGTATATAGCTCAGACCTCTGTACAGAGGCTCAACTAGAATTTTTGAAATATATAACTTAGAACTGGGTTTATCCATGTTTTACGACAACAGATGGAAGAAATTTTAAGAAAAAAACGCCGATAATTATTTCAATGGGTTGTAACTCTGAAAATAATGTGAATTTTTCAAAACTCATAGTTGAGCTTCTGTACAGAGGTCTGAGCTATATACAGGCAATATATTATTATAATAAAAGCATTTTTCACAAAAGAAGAACATTTAGAAAAATGGTTTTTGTAAGATAATTTTTTGCCAAAATATTGTATTTAAATACATTTTTTTGTCAAAATGTCGTTAAAACAATTTTATACATGTATTCTAATCTAAGTGACACTAAATATCATGAAAATTATCCATTTATGCGCCTTTTTAAAATCATGATTCCGAACGTAGTCGGATACCTTAACTGCTTCAATTAAATCATCATCAATCAGAGATGTCCCCCCACTTTGTTCGTTATCGTGTATATTCTCGCATCCTTTAATGCATTGCCGCAGCCACCTTCTGACTATGGTATTGCTCTCTGTATTGAGCCCTTACGCTTCCTAAATTTGTCAATGAATTTCACAAACTTTGGTGTTTTTCACATTGAGAGAAACTGAATGACTGCTCATATCTCGTATATGGTGAGTTGCTCGATTGTTTTAAAATTTTTAAACTCTCACCAAATAACCACTTCCTAAGTCATCGAGCTGAAAATGCTTTCCCTCTCTAGTCAATGATTCAGCAAATAACTCCCACAAACTTGGACAAACGAAGGTAGTTACTCTGAGGCGAAAATGAGAAACGGAACTTATTTTCTGGAATACCCTAGTATTCCGAGAAACGTATTTCTGATTAAATACTTTAATCCAAAAAAATAATAATTAATATTTTCTCTTTTAATCGTGAGCTGGTACTATTATTGTTGTCACACATGCTTCGAATTAAATACAGTTATTCCATAGGTATTGAGAGCAAAGCAATCCTGTGAACAAGTTTTGATACTTTCATATCAACCACAAATCTCGTATTCAGTAACGATTTAAAACCAAAAATTATATGGTTATGGATAGCCTACTTTATCAGGTGGAAAAAAATAGATTGCTAAAATGAGAACATTATTCTTAATTCCTAAGAACTAATGGTATACATTTTCCGTAGTATAGAAAGATTTGATGAAATTCACCATAAGTCACCAATTGCATGGGGTTTATAATGAAAGTACAGTGAAATACGTTTAATGCGAAGACGCTTAAGACGAAATATCGTTTAACACAAAATCATACAATGGTCCCTCTCGAATACTACTATGTGTTTTCATGCATTTTTTGTGTGTGAGGCGATATTTGAAAAGAAAGAGAAATGAAAGTGAGATAGTGTCGCATGTTTCGTAGAAAGGAGGCTAACTTGGCTTTGAAATACCCTCAGAATATATAGCCTGTGACCCGAACTAATTTTGTTTATCTAAGCTACTTTCACCCCCTCCACCTATACAAACGCCACACAAATATATATCACCTCCTATCAGGTGGCTTTTTTGCTAGTCCATCGTAGTGTGAATAAAAATCAGTGATTTTGGCTCGTGCACTTTTTTCCTTCCTTATTTTAGATTTTTTTTTTTTT